TAGTTTGGATTTATTAGTAATAAATATCTTATTTATCTACTTTATATATATTTATTTTTTATATATTAATAATAAATTTTTTTGCATATACTGTATTTATTAATTTGTAAGCTTCTTTATATAAAGTTTCTTTTATTTTTTAATATTATAATATATATATATTAATTAAAAATTATATAATTAATTAATTAATTATTACAGAAATCACAAATAAATTTGCAAAAATCAACCAATTATATAAATATCTTTCTATACTCTAGATTAGGGTTAGAGGTATAAAAAATTATTATGCAGAGCACAGTATAATACACTAAATAATTACATAATAATAATTAGTAAAACATTACAAGATAATTAATAATATTATGTCCTTATAGTATATTAAATCACCTTTTGCATATTAATAAAAAGTTTTCCTTAAATAATTTTACTATATAAAAGCTCAAACCCAAATTCTAATATAGATACTTACTCTAACTAATCTAATATAAAAAAAACTTAATAAATTTTATAGTTGGTTACATGTGAGTAGAATTTTGGTATAATATAAAAAAAGATAATATAGCAGACTTTTATAATAATTGGCCAATTTTTATAGATCATTTTATGATATAACTATATTATAAAAATTTTATTAATTGATCAAAAATTAATAAAAATATTAAATTATGAATAAAAAATATATATATATAATATGTAGAAAATAATTATATTTATAATCAAATTAATACTAACAAAAGTTTTTATTATAAAATCATAATAATTTAAACCTAAAATTATAATTTTATCAAACAAAATCAAACAAAATCAGAAAAATTTTAATAAATTAAATTTTATTAAAAAACTTCAATATATTACAAATCAAAAAAAAAAAAAGAAACAAGAAATAAAAAATATAAAAAATAAATAATTAAACCTATTCTATAATGCTAATAAACAATAAAAAAAATATCAAAAATAACTTATAATATTCACTCTAATATCAAACTAATTAATTTTATTTAACAATTATTACAAAGTTAAAGTATTGTTATAGTATTTTTCTTGAACTTTTCTTATAAAATCTATTATTCTTATAGCACTTAGCTTTATATTATTAGTCTACTATATATTATAGACAGGTTTTTTTATTAGTTAATAATATTATAATTTAGCTTGTCCTATTTGCTATATATGATTATACGATATAGATATTTGCAAATAGATTGTAATAGTATTTTGCTATGTATAGATTAGATTGTAACACTTTCTACTATATGTAGATTAGATTTAATTTGGATCTATATTCAGAACTTTCTTGTAATTCTGAGAAAGAAAATTTTATTTCTGAGAAAGAGAATTTTTATCTGTCATTTTTATAAGACAAGTTCAAGAGCAAGAGCAATTGCAATTGTAATTAATATTGAATTTGCTATTGATATTTTATATGATAATTTTTGACAACACTGACACAATAATAAACTATTGTTAAATAGTTATTTCTTTCATGTTTTGCTAAAAATAATTAACCCAATTCTAAGTTTTAATAAAATTTTTTTTTTTTTGTCAGAAATTTTACAGAACAGATGAATTAATAATTACTGATCACCAAAGTTTATAATAAAAAACTATAGTAAAAAAATTTGACAACTAATTCAAATGCATAGAATAATAGTATAACTTAGCTTATTTAAAAATATGAACATGGGTGTGGTGACTTAGTGAAGTAGTAAAGTTGTCGCACCTCCAGACAGCAGGTCTAGAGTTCGAATCCCATGAATAATGTTTTCGAAAAATAGTTCTGTAATATGGTTAATGGCTATTCAATGATTAGTAGAATCTAGAAATTTGTAATCTCAATCACACTATCTAGAATGGGAGTCTTGACATAATAAATCTGAGATACTGGAAGAACTAAAAGCCCGTTTGGCAAGTTCCAAGTTAGAAGATAGTACAATCTTTGATAGTACTATAGAAGGACCGAATTTGGAACTGAAGACTAAAATTGGAAAACCAAGTGACCAGGTCCTTAAGAAGGAGATATACTAGCCAAACTGCTGGGTTGCCAAACCAGAAGAAAAGGACATGTGCTTTGGAAAGAGAAGGAAGACTATATAGACACTTAAAGTTTAGATGAACCAACTCTTCCGGGTTGCTGGCTAGAAGTAAGAGAAAGACCGATAAAGAATCCAGGAAAGAAGGAAAGTTCAAATATAGGTGCTGGGGTTGTGTAAACCCAAATACAAGGTTGAGAAGTATGTAACAACTACTAAAATAGAAAGGTTGTAGTTTGAGATATAGATCAGGTTACAGCAGTATCCTAAAAAGATAGCTTGAGACACAAACTTGGTGATAGCAACACAACAGGTACTAGATTAGAAAGAAGTTACCAAACATGCAGGTGAATATACTGTATATATAAGACATGTACTGCTCTGTTAGGTTTATTTTAAGGATAAAGTAGTCCTAGATAGGGTGCGAAATCTATAGGTGTTACAAAATCTAGTATATGAATAGTGAGCTACATCTTGGTTAGGTAAGAAATGACAGGCCAGTTATGACTAGAGAGTTTAAATAGATAATCTTCTAGTTGTATGGCAGCTAGTGTGGAACCTTAGGCAGACTACTTAAATAGGCAACCAAAAGTTGCAGGTATGGCTAGTCATACTCTCACTTGTAAAAGCCAGAGAGCTTAAATAGATAATTTTCTAGTTAGATTACAGATATGGTGGCTAGTGTAGAACTCAGGCAGACTACTTAAAATAGACAACCAAAAGTTGTACATGTGGCTAGTTGTACTCTCATCATAATTGTAAATGTTGTTAATTATCTAATAAAAAGCCCCCAATTACAGAGGTCACTTTAATACTGAAAAAAAAAAAAAATTAAAAATATAAACACTTTCTAAGTATTTATAATAAAAAAACTGCTAATTTAAATAATTATCTAACTAGTTAAATATTGATTTGATTATTCAATTTTTTAACTTATCTGGATTAATATAAGTTTGTATATATATATTGTATTTTAAATTGATTTTTGTCTCAAATGATAATTAAAACACCTCAGATGTTGTCTATTTGGCTAGTATTAAATAATATACATTAATTGGTTTAAACTATAACTTAATCTTTACCCTAACTTTAACTCTAATTTAGGCTAATTGACACTTGAGGCAAGAATTGATTTGAGACATACTGTATATATATATATTTTTTCTACATATAATTAAAAGCAAGTGATTAGCTATTATATGTTACATAGCAGTATATAATAAACTATTACTTGTCCGATTTAATAGAACAATTATGTAAATTCTGACATCTGACTAACTAAATATTTGCCAATTCGATTTAGTAGTGATCATTACAAAATCACAAATTTATCAAATCATCAAATATTCAGTTAGTTAATTTTTTGCCAGATATTTCAGAATTTATGAAAACAAATGTAATATTATAAGCAGCAGTTTGTCTAATTGACCAATAAATTCAATTTTACTTTATTTATACAGTCTAGAGTACTTGTTAAGAAAACGAAAACTAATCATAATAAAGTAAAAAAAAAAAAAACTATATGAAAGAGTTCATTAAGGCTATAAGACTTCATAGTTAAAAATAAAATCTAATTCTCTCATATTTAAAAAAAATTAGCTTAGTTATCAGGAAATTTTTAAATAGGGTGAATATTAATTACTAGCTGCAGAGGTGATTGCTATTGATTAGAAAAATCGACAATAATCAATATTGGTAGCTAATCGATACACAATTGATTAAAAAATAATTGATTTTAATTTAGTTTTGATATTAATTGATTTCAATCAAAGTGATTCTAATCAATTTTAATTAGCAACTTTGTTGTTAATTGATTCTAATCGATTCTAATCAGTATCACTGGTAATCAACAAGAGTGCTACTTATCGATTGATATTTCTTTCTGTCAATCGATTGCAAACCAATTTAAAAATTTCCTGATAGTAATAAGTTAATTTTATCAAGTTTTGAGAAGTTATTACTATACAAACTTTTTTAAACGGATGAGAATTAGATCCTATTTTTAACTATAGCTCTAATAAAACCTTCTATATAACTTTTTTTATTTATTATGATTAGTTTTATTTTTTTAACATGTACTCTAAACTGTATAAATAATGTAAAATTAAATTGAATTTATTAGCCAATCAGACAAACTCCTGCCTATGAGCTGTAATATGTTGGCTACAATTTGGATTGGCTAGGTGGTGAAGCTGCCCACATGTGCTATTCTAGTTAAGATCACAAAAAATAAGTTTTCACAAACAAAAGACGGCTTAAATTGTTAAGTTTGATTAATTTATTATACCTATAGGCTAATTTTAAACGTCCAAACATACCTCTCATCTAACTTCCGAATTACTTCGCAGATTACCAAATTACTTTGACAGTTAGACCAGAAGGTGGCCAATTCGTCTCCGTGGCTGCCAAACCATTTTTGTAACTGCAAAACGTTACGCCACTATGTAAACATATTGTGTAACATTTTGTGCCGATCATCCAATCAAGTAAAGCCCGCTATGTTGGGGAAGATAGTAATACTAACAGGTTTCTGACCTTTTTATCCATTTGAATTTGATTGGCTGAAATTTTTTTAACCTATCAGATTTGCAGAATGTGTCAAAATTTTCACTGTAACCTTAGAATTATTCGGGGTTTTTCGCGGTTACCCAATTTTTCGAAGTTTGTTATAGGAATGCAAGCCGACTAAGTTGATAAAATTTTATCGACTTATTGGTCATAAAATTTCAATCGGAGTTTATAAAATATATTTCAATCCATTTATTATGTATTATGTACAGCAGTATTATAATGTTTCTCGCTTCTCTACGAAAACAACTAAGTGGTCCTTTCCAGCTTAAGTGAAATAAATTTAATTAGCAATGATAGAATGTTTTTGAGGTTCTATTCTTGTTTAATTCATATTACTAATTTTGTATGATCTACAATTTATCATATATAAATATAAGCGAACGAAAACTGATTTTATTAATTGTAAGTCATGTATCTAAATTGTTTAACAATAATCAGTTGATGTAATTTTTTCCTAAAAAAAAAAAATATAAAAATAAATAGATAAATAATATTTATACCTTGGAGTTGATGAGAATTTTGCGTAGGACTATAAAATAATAATAAATTAATGACGAATAACAGTAAACGAACTCAATGTGAACTTTAATGGATAGTAATATAAACCTTAATGACTTTATTAACAGCTTCCAGGAAATCTTTCTCTGTCGCAACCTATTAAAACATTAATAAAATTAGTATTTAAATACGACTTAAAATAATACATATGTAATATAATGAAAATTATGATTTTACCTTTCTTCTTGATCGGATGGCAAACATTCCCGCTTCAGTGCAAACACTACGTAGCTCAGCACCTTTTGTTATATACAAGGTTTTAATTAAAAATACCAATCAACGAATAGCTACAAAAGGTAATATATATTTATCCTATGTACCGGTACTATTCGGACAAAGACGCGCAATCAACTCGTATCGAATGTCACGTTCAACTGACATGCTGATATAGCAGTAGAGTTAGTAAATTTCAAGTGAATGGACCGATTAGTCGGAATGAATATACCTTTTGGCATGAATTTTCAAAATATGCGAACGACCCTATCATTTAAAGATAATGAATTTGTGTGAACCTAGCAGTAATGAAAATCAATTCTTCGCAATATGTTTTAATCTACCTCTAAGTCTGGTAGAGAGAATTCGACTTTTCTATCTAAACGACCCGGACGTAAAAGTGCAGGATCTAGAGTATCAGGTCTGTCAAGGAAAGATATAAAATTTTTTTTTATTTTTATTTTTTCAGACAATTATAATGTAATAATATTCATACCTGTTTGTAGCCATTAAAACTTTAATGTTTCCCCGTGGATCAAAGCCATCTAATTGATTAATCAATTCTAACATTGTTCTTTGAACCTCGTTATCACCTCCGGCACCGTCATCATATCGTGCACCTAAAAAACAAAATTTTTATTTTTTTATCTATTCTATTTTATTTTAATTTATTTTGTAAAATATGTATATGAACAGTACCTCCAATAGCGTCAATTTCATCGAAAAAAATGATACAAGCCTTTTTTGTACGTGCCATTTCAAATAATTCACGAACCATTCGTGCACCTTCACCAACATACCTAGCATTATAAATAAATAAATAAATAAATTACAAAAATATTGAAAATTATATCTATATTTATAAGCAACACACGCACTTCTGAACAAGTTCGGAACCGATAACGCGAATAAACGTTGCATCTGTACGATTAGCCACAGCACGAGCACATAATGTTTTCCCAGTACCTGGAGGCCCATACAACAGTACACCTTTTGGAGGATCAATACCTAAACTGACAAAACGCTCGGGCTAAAAAAACGAAAATGTCAAAAAAAAATTTTTTCGATATGAGAGAAACTTCATCATTTTTACCTGAAGCAATGGTAGTTCAACCACTTCTCTAAGTTTTTCAATTTGTTCTTTACAGCCGCCAACATCACTATAAGTGACATCCGGTTTTTCTTCAACTTGCATCATCGTCACCGATGGGTCAATTTTTGGAGGTAATGGGATTTGAATTTGATACTTATTGCGGTCAACACTAAAATAATTGCAAGATCAAAAAAATATGTACGAAAAGTATCAGCATCATGTTTTGCGATAGTGTGTATGAATAGACATGGCGCGGTGTTGAGAAAAAGTAACACACGATTAAGTTGAAAAGTTGAAATTCATATCCTTCAGACAAATAATAACAAAAACATTCATAAACGTTTCATGTTATACTAAGGAACTAAATTACTTGTAAATTTATCTATAACTTAAGCTGATCATCTTACCCAACACGCATTCCTTCTTCAATATCTGTCGGAGAAACACGTTCACCTAAAGCGACAACAAATTTTGCAATTTGTTTTACATTTATAATGTATTTTGCATCTTCACTTTCACCATCTTGAATTATTTTAGTACATCGGGCTACCTGTAGACATTAATTAAGTAATTGTCATCATAAATAATATTTACTGAATTTCTTATATCAACAGTTGTTATGTTAACGAACTTGTAAAGGCTGTTCCTCTTGCATCCTCTGTTTGTCTGCAGGGATATCCCAAAGATTTGGCGGGGCAAGTCCGGTATCTGATTCTTTAACACCTATAAAAAAGAAAATTTTAGAGAACAATTACCTACTATTCTTGATGAATAAATGGATCAAAAAAAGTAATTGAACATTACCGATCTTTTCATTAATACGTTTTTGTATGTCTTTTATATCTATATCGATCTTTTTTAACTCTTTGGCGTAGGGTCCTTGGCCCTATATAAAAGCAGGTCAATTTTATTAGAACGTTGATATAATTTTATCACGGAAAACGATATATTGTATAATCCTTACATAGGTTTTAAGTAATGCAATGTCACCTTCGTCAAGGGCTGTTTCAATATAAAAAAAATTATCGAATTTAATCCATGTTAACAATAGTTTAGTAATTTTACGTGATCTTAAAGAAAACTACGTACCAACAATCTTTTCCTCCTCCTTTTCCTCGATAGGTTTATCATCTTATAGTACTGTAGTTAGTTAAGCTGACAGCCGAAAGCTTTCCAGGAAAAAAATATACTTACATTTTTCCCAGTTATCTTTTGGAGGCATGATTAAGTACGAATTTATAACTGATAGGGTATGGTAGGAAGAATTCTAAAAAAAAATTATATTACAGTAAAAACTGTCGCGATATCAGATATATTACGTGTACTTGTAGTACGAATTACGAATTATCTCGACAACTTGGCCGAATTTACTTATCTACCTAGCATTTAATATATGTAGACGACATAGCACCCTAAAACATCACGTGAAAATAATTACCGTGGTGCAGTATCCCCTTTTTCAATATTATATTTATTTATATTATATTTTTTTTTCTTTTTTTTAAAGCGAGATCTTGGTCTCAATGCTTTATTAAATTTTTAACATATATTAATCTAAATAGTATTACTACATGAATTATGTAATTTAATTAATTGCATATGAAACATAGGGCTATGTTTTAACTATCTATATCTAAGATTTACCTATACAGATATACGTATCTAAGTATCTATAGTATTTCCAATTTATCCTTGACTTAATTCCATCGGAAGTGACAAGATCAGCCCACTCACAATTACCTTTTCACAGTTGCTGAGGCTTCTATTTGCAGTTGTAACTTAGCTGTCAAGTTCATCATTTAATATCTCAGATCTCTAATTCTGCAGTGTAAGATTCTATCGAATCTGCATTTTACTAATATTTGCTTATTATTCTATTAAATCACTTTTGCCCTTGTGGAGGTTTGCTATTTTTGAACCAGATACCCACTTCACATTTCTCTTCACAAACTGAGTTTTCTGGTTTCACCAAACTTCCAAACCAGTTAGCCTGATAAGGTTGGCCTGCTTAGGCTTTAAGTGCTTTATGATCTCTATTCTCTTGATACATGCTTCTAGAGCATATATCCTTTTCCTTTGGTACAACTCCAGTAGCCAGGTTGGTAGAACCCCGAACCTATAAGGGTCTTTTTATCCAAATCTCCAAATCTTCAGTTGGTTTGATTCTGTTTTGTAGTACTATTGTATCTTCACTACTTCCTAAATTTGGGTCTTGCCAAGCTGGTTTTGGTTCTTCTAGTTTTCTTTCAATTTTATTTCAGTTTTAGAAACTTATCCTGAGTTTGCACTGCCTAGACTAGTTTGTATTCTTCATGTAACATGAAATCTTTAGGACCTTCTAATATCTTGATAATAATGGTATGACTGGAGTTACAGATAATTAACTAATCGATAAAGTTTGTTATCATATTACAAAGAATTTTATTCAAAATGTCACTAGTGGGATTCAAACTCCATACCTTTAATTAACATAGCTTGGAGGTATGATAACTCTACCACTTTATTACATCACCACACTCTATTTATTTATATTATATTTATATTTTATTTATATTTTATTTATATTTTTTTATATTTTTTTTTAAAATTAGCTTAGTATAAATTTATATATAGAGTTTCAAATTTAATTTTCTGCTCATAATTTATAAATTTTAAAATTTAATAGTTTAGACCAATATAGAAAATTTAATCTTCTTTTTTAAAATCTTAGCTACTCTAATAGAATTAATTACTTGTTGGAATCAAAATTTTTTATCTCTAGATAATATTTTTGTAGTTACTAAAAATCAAGTTATTCTTATTAATAGAGTTAATATTTTAACAACTATTCAACAAAATAATTTGCTAAATAAATACTTACTAATGCTAAATCTTAATAATCTTGTTTATCTAGAAAATAATATACCAGAAGTTTTAGCAATAGAGTTAAATATAAAAAAATTTTTAAAAGATTTGACTATCTAAAATTCTAATACTTTTTTTAAAACTAACTTTTTAGTTAACTCTATTTGAACAAACTAAGTAACTAAAATTATCTTGTATTTGAACTAAGAAACTAGAGAAAACCAAAAAGAAAAACAAGTTCAAATACTAAAAGCTTGTTACTATTTAGAAAAACTTTACTATAACTTTAAAAAAGATTTTAAAGTTATTAAAAAAATTAAAAAAACTATTAAAACCTTCTTAAGATCTAAATATATTGCTAATATTTGAAAATATGCTAAACAAGTTTATTAAGTCTTTCAAAATTAAAAATTGTCACAATTCTACTACACTTAATCTCTTTTACTTAGTAGTTTTAACATGTTATTAAACCAAGATTTTTTAATATTGCTAACTTATAAAGTTTGTTCTTAAAAAAAAAACAAAAATATTATAAAACAAATTTGATATTTCTATAAAATCTAGAAGATCTCTATAATAATAACAAAATATAATATATAAGGAATAAACTAATAATTGGTTAAATAATTAGAAATTTATATTTATATCTTTTATACCTTTTATACTTTTTATACTTTTTATACCTTTTATATTTTTTATATCTTTTACACCATTTATATTTTTTATTTTTATTTTTTTTTTAATATTAAGGTGATTTTTTAAGTTGATAAGTTTTTATTAAGTATAAATATTAAGCTATATATATATTTTTGGTATCTAATTTAAGTAGTCTGTTTAAAAGTTCTACACTATCTGCCATACCTGCAACTAGTATTGTCCTGGGACACGGACATGGACAGCAGACAGTCCGGGACAGGATATCTGCAGAAAATTTTTTGTCCCAGACAATTAAATTGTAATAAGAGTAGCCTTGTTAGCCAATCAGATTATTTGATAAACCTATAAAATAGAACACCATCACAAACATGGGACATTGTCCAGGACATGAGACATTGTCCCGGACTGTCCGTGTCCCTGTAATTTTAGCCGGACAACATCCGTGTACAACACTGCCTGCAACCCAACTATAAAGTTACATATTTAAACTTTCTAATCACAACATACTATCTATTATATTTAACGTAGATGTAACTTACTATACTATATATAGATTTTGCAATATTATTATATTTTTTAGCCATCTTAAAACTAATTTATCCTCAAAGTAAACTTAACAGTATAGTATATATCTTATATATATATTCATCTGCATATTTAGTAACTTCTTCTTAACTTGTACCTGTTATACTACTACTACTAGATTCATATCTTAAGCTACTCTTTAGAGTGCTACTATAATTCAATCAAACTATAATCTTTCTAATTAGTTTTTGGTTACTTACTTCTTGCTCTTGTAAGATTTACACAATCTCAGTACTCATATTTGAACTTTTTTTTTTTTCTCAGATTTTTTACTAGTTTTTTTCTTATTTCTAGCTAGCAATCTAAAAAAATTGGTCTGTCTAGGTTTTAGATATTTTATAGTTATCCTCTTCTTAGTATATGTTTTTAGAATATATATTCTTTTCTTCTAGTTGGCAGTCTAGTATATTTCCTTTTAAAAACCTGATTGCTTGATTCTCTAGTCTTGGTTTTTAGTTTCAAATTTGATTTTCCTATATATAGTACTGTTAAATATCATACTACCTCCTAACTTAGAACTTGCCAAATAGGTTTTCAGTTATTCTAGTTTCTTAAATTTATTATTCTAAAGCTTCTATTTTAGATAGTGTTATCAAGATTACAAATTAGAATCTAATCGATCGATAATAGCTATTAAGGAGAGTGACAAAAATCAGGTGATTTTTTGGGAAGGAAGGAGGTAAAAAAAATTAAAATTATATATAAAGACCTAATCAAATATATAATAAAAAGAAGGAAGGGGGTATATCTTTGATAAAAAAAAATTAGATGATAAATGATATTGCTCTAACCATATCATAAAGCTATTTTTCGAAAATGTTGTTTATAGGATTCGAACTCTAGATCTGCCATCTGGAGGTGTAACTAGGGTTCCAACCCGGTTTGAAAATCCCTATCCGTGACCTGTCGGGTCAGCCATCTTTCCCAACTGGGTACCTGAAACTAAAACTGGTTATTCAATTAAAACGGGTTACCTAGTTGTAATCGGGTGACCCAGCTATCTGAATAAAATGGGTCACTCAGTTATAATCGGGTGACCCAGATAAAGGACAAGTAAATGATACAATCACACTTTCATATGTTAATTTTTGTTGGTTTACCATGATAATTAACCAATCAAATACATAATTTTTAATTAATACTACTAGAAAACGAAAGAAACTTCATGTAAAGAAACTTGCAAACCAATAAATACACGCGAAAGAATTTATTATTTATATGTAGAGAATGGATATATACGCATAAAGTGGGTAGATATTTATTACTAACAAACCCAACCCCATTAAAGAATCTACCATGTAGGATATAAATTAAACTTTTAACTATTAATCTACAGTTGACGCACTACAAGAACTGACCAAATTTAAATATTAAGCCCGGATCTTCTCTGCTAAAGAACTTAAATTAAAAAAGTTAGAAATAAAAGTTTATTCAAATCTAGTGTAATAAAATAGTTTTAGACGAAAATGTTTCAGGTTACCTTCACTTTACAGTATAATTTGATATAGTCAGTATTAGTAAAGATCAAAAAAAATAAATAAAATAAAATAAAAATCGGGTTAAAAGTAAAATAGTAAAAACATAAAAAAGAATAAACATACCATAAGCTATGGCGAAACTAAAAAAAAAAAGTTAAATCGCATAGTTTAAATAGATTACAAGCTAAATAGAAAGTTTTAAAATATTCAAAAAGTAGCTCTCATCTAACTTCCGAATTACCTCGCTGATTGCCAAATTACTTTGACATCTTGTAGAGAAGAAGGTATAGTTTCTAAATTTTTATACCACAATTCATATTGTGATTCTCGTGATGGAAAATTGTAATACTTTAGTATCAATTATCTATTTACCAACCGGGTCACCCATTGTAAAATGGGCCACTTGCTACCTGTTGTAAACGGGTCACCTGTTTATCAAAAAAAACAATCCGGTTGGTAAATTTCACGGGTCGGGTCATCAGGTTCACGGTTACCCAAGTTATAGTTTGGATCCCTACTTTAAGTGTTGTTACTAGTTGTGTAAGTGGGATTGTAGCTGTAGATGGGTTGTACAGGAAGTACTTTCAGAATATAGGATTTAGTTCTTGGTAGGTATTTGGTAGAGGCTGCTTGGGTGGAGGAAGATTAAAATAAGATGGTGGGATTTGAGTTATAGTATAGAAGTCTGCTAGCTTGCGTTTATATGTTCCCAGGTGTTGGAGTTTTGATTTGTGTAAAATAAGAAATAGTGTATGCAATTCAGATGAAAGATCTTTATAGTTAGCTAGTAAGGGGGGAAGTTTAGTGAAGTATAAGAGTGGAAGTTCAGAGAATTTGTATAGCTTTCTCAAAGTGTTAACAATTGCTCTAGTATAGGATCGTTGTTTGATGGGGAGGGTAAAAGGTAGAATCTCAGTAATTTTCTTAAGGATTTGGTTAGGGTATGCTGGTAGAGAAGTTAGCTTGTCTTCAAATGTTTTGATAATATGTGTACTGATTTGTATAAATGCATCATTTGTGTCATCTTTAATTTGTAGAAAGCCACGGGCATATTGAACAGCTCTGAGGGCAGTTTTGTGAGTAGCTTTTGCAAAGTTAATGTTGAAAAGATACTATGCAATGAGCATTTTTTTTAGCATAGAATAGATTGTATTATACGTGGCCATGTTAGTGAGTGTGCTATTGTTGTCAAGCTTGTAGGTATTAAGAGCTTTGTTAAATAGGTCATTGTACTCCTTCTAGTAAGCTGGGGTGGTTTTGGGGTTTCTTGTAAAAGTAGTAAAGAACCTAGTATCATTGTAAACAAATTTGAGTCAGATAGCTTCGGGGATCATGTGTTGAGTGTGAATAGTAGATAACTTGTAACTAATAAATTGATATATAGTGTCGGGAGCTTTGAGTACCTCAGAGATCTTGTCATAGGTCCAAATATTTGTGTCAAAAGGTGTATTGTTTGAGGTGGGTGCTTTTTGGTAAACTATTATAGCCCATTTCATGACATCAGATGTATTAATAAACAAAGTTCCAGGAGTTGTCTTGGTAACCTGGCTGTATAGAGGTTTTTTAGTCAGAGTTTTGGTATTTTTATTAGTTTTCATAATAAGAGGGGAGGATTCTTTGGGTCATTTTTTGCTCTTGCTATTTGTTTTGGTAATAGATAGACTAGATTCTGTGTTGGGTATCATTAAGATTAGGGTAGTAATTTGTTTAGTCAGTGTACTTGGCCTGGGTATATTATTATGATATGTTGTACTATTAGTGGTGGTAACACTAGATGTTTGAGTGGTGCTAGGTAAAATACTTGTGCTAATATTTATATTAGGTTGAGGTACGGTAAGGGTAGTGGTCTCAGAAGTGTCAGGGATGCTTGTGTCATTGTTGCTTCTGTTCGACTTATTGTCAGACTCAATTTCTATAATAGTATTATATGTGACCAATAGGAGTTCAGAGCTATCTTTGGCTTTGGTGTAAGGTTTTATACTATCCTTGTATGCTTTTGTGATTGTGATTAGATTGCAGTTGTGGGTAGTTTTAGGTTGCTTGGTACTAATGTTGATAGTGTTGTGTTAAGAGGTGTGAGGTCAAACAATACTGATTGGGTAAGATCATTATGTTTGCATATCCATTGTGCAGGGTAGTTTACTAGATTAAAGATCTTTTCAGACTTGGTAATATCGATGTAGAAGAGGAAATCATTCGCATGTTCTGGAATTGAGAAGCTTATGATAAAGGTAAGTTTAGACCAGTCTTTTATAATGATATTGATAAATTTCTTGGTGTGTTCAGTTTCTAGAATGGTGGGCTTGGTGACTGGAGTAGTTGGCTTTGAGGTAGTCTGTTTACGTGTGAAAGGAAGGAAGTTTAGGTATGAAGATGAGCTTTCAGAGGCCATTTGTTTCAGTTGTGTTTGCTTTCCAGAAAAGCTAAGCATGTTTTGTTTTATAGAGTTTTGGTATAGAGTACGTGGGTCTGATTGTTTTGTATTATTCAAGTTTGGGTAGTCGGTAAGGCCACTTTTGTAGAGTGGCAGAAAAACTGAATTTTGGTTTTTTTTTATATTAATTGCTTATATCTTGTGGAGATAGTATGTTTTTGAAGTAGGGTTGGGGGCACGGGGTCATTGGGCATGCCCTCCGGGCATGCCCAGGGGGTATGCCTAGGGGCATGCCCTCAGGCCAAAAGGCATGCCTCCGTCACGTGCCGAATGCAATACGCTGATTAGCTATCAGCTTTACAAACCAATTAGGGCGCCCAAATTTTAGATCACACCAGTTTATATAAAAAGGCATGTCAAACCAGTTTTTAATATAAATATAATTTACACCT